GAGAAGGAGAGACCTTGATTCAGCAGTTGGTTCCATGTTCATTTCATTGCACTCAGGCAATACTACAAGGGAAAATAGATTTTTGATTTCCAGTGGCCTCATTGTTCAGGAACACATAGCAGTTCCATGTGCATCTTCTCTACAACAAAAGCTGGGGTTTCGCAGTAGGATCAGAAAACTACATCTCTTCAGAGAGAGGGGGAGAGAGAGAAGAGTGTAAGTTGCCTCACCGAAGCAGCAACCTACCTCTTTCGGCAACTAAGGAATGATGGGACCTCATATGGAGCAGTCATTTCAAAGGAAGAGAAGAAACATAAAGGCAGGCCAAAAGAGATTATGGGTAATTCTGAAGTTTTCAAATACAGAGAGTTCATAAGTATTTATGCTGCTCCTCAATGGTAAATAATGTAACCTAATAGGCACTTTTGGTGGCATAAGGTCTAAAGTTTTCTGAAAAAGCCTGGGAGGATGATAGGTAGTGATATGGATAAAAAACTTTTGTGAATCTATAAAATCAACAAAACTCTCTATTCAAGGACTCCAAGGAAAAAGAAGAAAAAGCAAAAAACCAAACCAAAACTAAAAAAGAAACAGGTTCAAATGCAACACAAGAGAAAGAAATCATGACAGGAAAATACACATTCTGCTTTCCCTGAATTACCAGCATTTAAGGTACCCTTCCTGGTATGGTCTGAATTCACATCTGGGATCAGGTTGCTGGTGTAAAAGAAATCTAGATGGCAAAATCTTAAGCATCAAGCAACACACCACTCTTAATCAACAAGAGTCCAATATTGAGCAAAAGTAATCAGAATCCACTGCGACAAGAACACACCACTGCTAACAAATATGAGCAAGAACATGGACAAGCTGTTTCACGAAAAAACTTACTTCCCTTTGCCTTGCAATAGTTCTTCCAGATTCTTCTGCAGTTCCTGTTCAGTCAATAAAAGCTGTACAAGGAAAAAGCACATGTGCTTAGCACAGCCATTTTTGCCAGCAGGCACAAAACCAGCTTGGCGCCTGCCAATAGACCACCAAGTGCAGCAGCACTCTACTGCATGGTAGTATACACAGTGCCAGCTGAGAAGAGAGACTGAGCAAAAAAACAGAAGTGATGCTGGCTAGAACAGCCTTGATGACCAGGTAGGGCCAGCTTTATAATTTATGAGGTACGGGACCACTCCACACATCTTACTCTCTAGAGCTTCTCTTCCTTGCCTGTTCATTGTAGGAGAGATGTTAAAGCCAGCTGTTCTGCCCTCGTTCAGTCGTGTACATGAAAGTGGCTCTTTGAGGGGCAAAGCTTGTGTTCACAGCTATTTTTGTTTGGTTTATGTCTTGTGCATCTAGACTTCTGATAAGGATTTACCTGTACTATTACCACTGCATTAGTCCCAAGGCAATCACTGTCAGCAGACAGCCTGAGAGCTAGTACATCTTCTCCTGTCTTAGCCCAAACAAAACCAGACTCAATCACCGTGAGCCAGTCTTCATTCAGACCCACTCCCTGCACATGTTCTCAATGAAATAAATCAAGATTGAATTTAGTACATATCAGGAGTAGCCCTTTCTGTTTAAATTTTCCAATCAAGGAGACAAGGCCTCAACACAGCATCCAGCTTTAAGTAACACAAATGCCTGGGATCCATCCTAGAACTTTTTTTCTGGTTGAATGGCATCGAGAGCACATATTTCAGCTGAAACCAGCATCAACTTATCATTTGAAAACAACTGCCTTGGTCAGAGTCCAGTTAGGCAGCTGCTGTTACTCGGTTGGTCTGGGTGCACTCCCCAAACAGAGCAGCCCATACATGTATACTCGCCTCAGCTGGGAGTCTACACAAGCAAGTTTGCAAGCTCTGGAGGTGTCACAAATAAAGGATCCTAACCTGGTCCTAATTCCTCTTCATGGATATCTTCAAATTCACTTCTCATGATATTAAGGACCACAAGAACAAGAGAAGACATGTTTCTAGCCCTCAAAATGTCCATTTTCCTCAGAAAGGCAGGTAGAAACAGACTAAGCATTTACTAGGCTGGAAAATTCATCACAAGGGAGGCTGTTCCAGCACAGCTAGGCTTAACTCTTCTTGTCATTAGCTCTTATGTGGGAAAATGCCCCAGATTTTAACTGCAACAAGGGGAAAAAATAAGGCTTTTAAAAATTCATTCAAGCACACCAAAGTTTCATTATACCCTTTGCAGAGCAGATGGCAAGATGAGGCTATACCCCCTGGGCTGCACTACAGATCTCAGATGATGTTGGTGTCATCATTTCACTTGGGGATTTGGGTCAAAAGGCTTTACGCTCAAATCTGGTTTTTATATAGTACAAGTGCACCCAGACTAGACCCCAACGGATAAGCAGCGGGGAGGCTAGTACACAGCATAGAGCTCTCTCAGGCACTTCCAGGTCGCTGATTTACACTGGCGCATTTACAGACTGAATCTTTCTAATCCAATTAAAATCTCATCTGAACTGTCAATATAGATGCAGCCTGTTTTATTTTAGTGTCTCATAGAACATGCATTAATCCAGACCTGTGGACAAACTAGCCCTTCTAGGCAAATTCTGCATTCTGCCAGCCCTGTTTCTAGCCCAGGTTCTCTCACCCATAAAGCCCTTACTGCTCTCATGTTACCTGCCTACCCAGGAACTCTTACGGACGTGCATCACCTTCCTATCTGAGTGCTTTATAAAAATGTGCGATATACACCATTAACCTTCTGAAAAACAGCACTTTTCTCTCCCAGCTCACTTCTCATGTAATGATGGCTGGGGTACTATCATTAAATATAAGAACATGAATATGATCTATTTTCATTTCAATGGCTTCATTTGTTTGAAATGTATATGCCAGTTACAGGCTGTCAGCACATTTAATAAGTTATGGCATAGACCAACAACTCGCAAACTTCTGGGGCCAAAAATTTTTACAGATCATCATGTATACTTGTCATTAAATTTTGCACCAAAAACATTATAAATCATACTGTTTAATAGATTTCCATAAGGCAGCTGTGAGCTGTTTTGCCACAAGCACATGGAGCACCGATATTTGCCAGGCATAAAACAAAAAGCTAAAAGCACCCTTAATACCACCACGAACTCTCAAAATCCTCACAGAACCTAATACCCAGTAAGCAAAAGACCAGCAGCAACTAAAACAGGTCTTTCACTATGACCTGAAGGTAAACAAGTACAAGTTTTAGCAAGCCAAGTTCAGAAGCAAAGCACATCTGCTGGTGACGTCTTCAGGAAGGCTCGATTGAATGCTTCAACAGATCTTGGTATGAGAGAGGTGAACTTTGATACAGCAATTAAAGCTTTGCATGTGAAAACCAATACTTAACAGCATCCAGAAATAAATTGAGAGCAGAACAGATTACACTCTTACTCATGAGAGATACCTGTCACCAAGCAGAATTCTCCACAATCAGCTGCACTTTCCGAGAGGAATTCAAGTAGTCTCACATAAAAGGCAAATAGACTTAAATACAGACCAGGATTTTGAGAGATACCTCCATAAGAGGAGATTCCTCATCTGCTACTTAGTCAGAAGCAAGTAGACTCTCTTCTACTGCATACCCTATTCTTCCTGAAACAGTAGCAAATCCTATTGACTCCTTCCCACGCCCTGGCACAGAATACTGCAAATACTAAAAAATTGTCATGGGTGCTAAGGAAGGTGAAAACAGTTAACAGAAAAAAAAAAATAATCATACCATTTTACTATGTACACAGAAAGCAACTTTGGCTGATGAAGTCCTTGAGCTGAAAATTGTTAGAGGGTTGAAAAGTGTTCCAGGAAAGACCACCCTATGGCCACATCTGATATTCTTCCCTAGGCATCTGCTTTGGACCCTGTCTTGAAATAGGAGACTGGGCTAGATTGCCAGACCACTGATCTGACAAACTATAGCTGTCCCTATGTTTGGTATGACATACTATAGTTGCCCATATGTTAACCTCCACTTGCATACCCAAATTATATGGTTATTTTCATTGCTATAGCACTTTGAAGCCATGGTTATGGACAAGAACTTATTGGGCTAATGTTATAAGTGTAATGTAGAAAGATTACTGGCAAATTCCTCTAATTCTGAGATCCAATATTTTCTGTTTTATTTCTCATCTCGGTAGCACCACTCTGGCATATATACACTTACAGATACCTCACTTTACATAGCCTTCGATCTCAAAGTGGTAAAGAGATGGCTAATCAACTGCATCAAATGAGCATCACCTTCACGATGCAGATTGCAAAACAGCACAGCCCTATGACCTCTGTCTGTGATTTGCATGCGTGGCAAACAAAGTCAAGTCATTTGATGCCAGGCACGAATACCAGTTGCCTGCTATGGGAATCCACAATGTTTACCACAAAAGCAAAAGATAAAGTTCATCTGAAATAACCGCTTCCCTTCCTGTTTATGTCTGTTGCTGCAACAGCACCATTTCATGGTTCAAAGGCAGCTGGCAGATGAAATGTAATTAGCAAGGTCATCTGATTCTTATACCTCACCAGCAGTACATTATTGATCAACAGAACAGTATAGTCCTTATAGAACCGCAAAACCTAAGATTTTCCACTGTACTATATTATACAGCAGATTTTATCCTAAAGTTGTTAACAAGAAATTAACTGTCAGGGATTCATTCTCTAGAGAACTTACGAGGTTCCTTCTAATATGCCCAATCCTACATCTGTAGAATTGCATAGTGCTGTGAGAATAAATCAGCATATTTAATCATTTTGTTGCACTTATACCCAGTGCCACTGTCATCCATCCTGTCATTTGCCACCTTTCTTCCACCAAGGAATTAGTCATAAAAGAATGAAGGGGAAAAAATGAAAAAGAAAAACAACAACAAAAAGCTTCAACAGAAGTTTTTTTTCCTATCCCTAATAAATCCCTTAAGTCCCTTTACTCCTCTTTGAGGGGAGGATTTCATTCACCCCTTAAAATATATAAATCTGCCCCCAGAAACTTACCACAAGTTCAGAGAATCTAGCATTGAGCTCCTCTGCTGGTGGGATTGGGACAGAAAACTCAAGGAACTGGAGGGGGTTATTGTCCTTAAGGTTGATTTCAGGGAGGTCACTACCCCCAAAACAACAAAGAAATCCCAACGCATGACGATTCCTCTTCCGGGGCGCCATGATCATGGTGTATGTTGCTATCTTCTGATCATGTTCTGCAAAAAGAAAAAAAGAAACAAACAAAACCAACAGACATTAAATGATAAACAAGACTCTGCTGAATCTGTGCAGCTCTCTGCAGTTACAATGGTTATCATTGGTGTAACAGCTGGAAGAGCACAGAATGATCTGAGACACGAAAGAGCGAAATAAACACTCAAGCTAGACAAGGTAGCTAAGCTTTAATATGGTATTAACATGTTCTTGTATGGCAATGTAGAATCACTTCTCTCAAAGTTTCCCAAAAAGTTTTACAAACTCAGCGTGGAATTTCCCGGTAGGTAGATTTACCAGTAATGCTCAGTAGCCAAGGTTGAAAGCTACCATTGAATGCCAGTATTGGCCTTTCTCTCACTACTACAGTAAAGGAACCAAAGTATCAGAAGCTAAAAGCATAAACTGGAGAATTTACCCAGAACAAATGGAGGATCCTCCAAAGGTATCCCATTTGGTCAAAATAAAATGAACGATGAAACAATGAAGTAGAAATCAATTTTCCACCACTCTGGAGCCAGACCACCAAACACTCACTTATCCGTTTATGGCCAGGACTATCACAGTAGGAACATTTTGTCTATTATGTTTTCAAACACATGTAACAAGTTTGGGCTGCTTTATGTATCCAGGGGAGAAACTCCACTGTGCTAATGCATGCTTTCGATTTACATTTGAGCTGCCAGATCCCATCTTGACAGGACCCAGACTTGCAGGGCTTTGGTATCAGAAGCGTAAAGGCAGGCAAAAGGAGGCCTGAAGGAGGAGCTGGGAAGCGACTGATGTCACCACACCACACCGTTTGTGTGCAGCCCATCCAAACAGGAAGCCTCCTGCCAGCAGTTTGAAAGGAGGGATCTGTGCAGTCCACAGAGCGCCGCATATTTTGCCCTTTTAAGGGACTTGTTGTTTGACAGTTCAGGGGCTTATTTGTGCTATATTTTTTAAGGACTTCACTTTTTCACTTAATCTGCAGAATAAGCCATATCCTTAGAGAGTAAGTAACTAAAACCTGTTGTGAAGCCTGGCTCCCTGGGCACAGGGCAAGGGAGCAGGGAGGGAGGTGGCAGGTGAACTGAACCACAGGATGCTGGATGCTCTATCAGCGGCAACACAGCTGAGCTTTGTCATGGGAGCAGCTGCTGCCCTAACCTGCCCCACAATGCTTTGGTCTGTTTGCTTTCCAGAACAAGGCTGCTTTGAGCTCTCATAAAGACTAAGTAGTTGTGCTAGGAAAAGCACCTTTAGGACAGCAGTTGCACAGTGGGACTTAACATGCTGTGCACAGCCAGAAGCTTTCCAGGGACTTTGTGCACAGAAATCAGCATGCTCGCTTAAGAAAAAACTAAGCAACAAACAACAACAAAAAAACCCAACCCCAAACCTCCAGCCTTGTGGCACCCTGTGCTTGGCAGGAATCACCTGCCCTACTTTGTGCTGGGATTAATTTATTTAGCACCTCCTCTTATGCACTGGAGGGGCATCAGCTGCAACTCTCATGCAGCTGAAAGGAAAGTCAGCCAGTGCCAGGCAGTGTCTTCTGGCATGCCTGCTTTCCTTTGCCAACTTTGCAAGGGCTCGTATGTCTCAGCAGGGCTCACTACGGCAGGGTGATGCTGGCTTCAAAAGTAAATTTAAAAGATCATTGGATTCTCACTAGGAGATGCCAAAGGCTAACTTAACCACAGAACTGGTCTCTGACACTGGTTCAGTTAGCAAAACCAAAACGCCCTCAAATCCAGCACAACGATGTGCACAGCAACTTCTGTTTCCTCTCAGTAGTGGAGAGTTAAGAGATTCAGTTCTTAAAAGATTTCCCAAGAGACCCTCAGAAGAAGTTGAACTTGTCTACCACAGACCATCTTCTCAGGAACTACTCTGAGTACAATGTCCTTTATGGTAATCTGGTCATGGATGACATTAGAACCCGGTAGTTTGACAAAACTTTGTTTTGGAGGAACTCAAATCAATGAGCCACACCTGATTTACATACAATATAACTACACTTGCATCAATTCAGTTGTAAACCAAGTTCTGGCCCACTGTCTAGAGGCTTCCTCACTAACCATCAAAGGACCAGCATTCTCTGGGGCATGGACAATTAATCCTCCTTGGAAAAATTGGCTGAGACATTGAAGGGTTAGAACAATAGCATCTTCCTGTATGAGCTCAGGTCAACACTTCGGTAAGCAGTCCTCCAAAAGAGGCACCTTACCAGGAAATGAGTATGCAAATGGATATGAAGGCCAACGTTTTCTATAGGGTAAGTGCTGCCCTGTTCAGGGCATCACAGGTTGTCCTGTACTGACTTTCATCACTCAGCTTTCATCTTAAGAAGGTTCATCTAAGAGGTGAACAGTCAGTCTCCAAGCCTTCTTCATCCACAATGCTGAAAAATACACAGGCTAGTGCTTGTTCCTGTAGTTCGGCATTCATTCCTTGGGGTCCATGCTTGAGAAACTCAGCAAACCTCCTCAGTTTTCACTACGCTGCAAAAGCACACAGAGCTCAGGTGAACAGTAACCTTGTATTACCTCACTTTCATAAAGCATGACTCCATTGGGTAATTCATACACTGGTATTTTCCAGGTCCATCTATAAGCAGCATGCAGGAAATTCATACTGAGTCAGAGGGGTAAAATGGTACTTTTGTATTGCTACAACACTGTCCCTGTAGATAAGTGAGGTGTCTAGATGCTTTTAAAAGAAGAACAATTGAGGACTGCTAGAGAGGAATCCAGCACAAGTATTTTAGAATTGAATCACTGAATGAATGAGTGCTATTTCTAAGTGGGAATACCGTCTTTATCTAAAGATTAAGCCTGCCAATCACAGGATGCTGAGGGGCATTTACTTAAGTTGCACTGTTTATACTATTTAAAAACTAATTACAACTCCTTGATTTTTGCTGGTGAACACAGTTTTAAACAAAACAAACATTTTCTAATAGCCTCCAAATTAATAACCTTTTTCCTTTTCTTTCTCTCTCTTTTACCTTTTCTTTGTTAAGAACCAAATCTGGGGAAACTGCTTTCAAAGGATGAGGCTGGGGAGGGGGAGAGGCAAGAAAGAGAATGAAGAACATCAATTACCACTCAGAAAAATGAAGTAACAAAGCTGTCATAAAAATTTATGAAAATAACAAAAGGTGGGGGGTTTACTCTAATAAAAGCTCTGTTGCCTTTCAACTTCATACAAGTAAAGTGACTATAAAAATGAAATGTGCAATTATCTATTTCTATATATACCTCCGGTGAGAATCAATGGGAAATCTCTCTCTGGAGAGAATCCCACTATTACACATAACTCCCTCCCACAGCTCTTCTCAGTTGTACTGTTTTACCCTTTTGCACAACACAAGTTGTCATCATTTTAACAGCTAACCGCACACCCGCTCCTCATAGCGATCACCCTCCTGCTTCCCAGCCCCATCTGTGGTTCGGCTCAGGTCAGGAGTCACAGTCTGGAACTTTGCCCGAGGTCTAATTATAACAACGTCCTCTTCCTCTGACAGGGCGTACGTGTTCATTTCTAAACCATTTGGCCCAGTGACCAAATATAATTAAGCTAATGCAATTCTTCCAAGTCTTATCAGAAGGTTTAGCCACATGGGATGAGATCCATGCTAACTGCACACGAGGATCCTCTTTAAATTGCAGGTTCTAAATTCAGTCTCAATCTTTTCTTCACTCATTTCAGAAATTATAATTTTCATGCAAACGTATCCTTTAAATAAGCAACATTCCACAAACAATAAGTCACCTGAAACAACTGCTATGCCAGCAGCTCTCCTGTGCAAGAGAACTGATTATCATAGTTTTAACCTCACTGTCTTGTCCTTCACCAGAGTGAACAGCCAGAGCACAACTATAACTAAAATAGAGAAAATTAGGTTTGTATCATCACCTTTGGAAAAACAGAAGAAAGAGTGAGAACTCTGTGGGTTAACTAAAGACATGCAGTCCTGCAAAACCAGTTTGCAACATAAGGAAGTATTAATGGAAAACACTTCCAGAGCTGAATCTCCACTGATCATCAACAGACACACAATGTCAGTGGATGTAGCCACAGCTCTCACCTGAGCGGGAAGTATGGGACATGCAGAATTATGATGCAGAATCACTGTCCACACTGGTTTATGCTAACAGGAGAGGAAACAAAGTAAATCACTTCTGTTTCCCTGTAAATTGTATCTTTCTCTATGGCAGGATAAAACATATAAATGTGATGTATTACCACAGAAGTAGAAAGAAACCTGAATTTAGACTGGTTTGGAACATAAGCCAAGTCACTCTCCACCCCCAAATCCAAGTTAAATCTCTATGTTATTCAACTATTAAAAAATAAACCATCAGAACTTCATGGCATTAGAATAGCTACCTTCATCATCACTTATTGGTGATGAAATGAAACAAAATAAGCACCGTGCTCAAAATTTGTCAAAATATATACATCAGGTAAAGCTAAAGAGCACCATACTGATCCTATGCTCAGTTCCCCGGATGTGGTGGGTTGACCCTGGCTGGGG